ACATTCCAGAGGTCCCATCAGTCTGCTGTTTAGTGAGCAGACCACCTTACCTTTATCACACACAGCCCAGGCATGCACAGAGTGTAGTAGGTTTGTAAAGAAGGAGGCCCATCCAGCCCCTGGTTTCAGCAGTTCTTACAGTGATGCTCTGATTCCCACTAGGAGCCTGGGTACTAGCTTCAGTTCACCTGCTCCTTAGTGAGATCTTTCACTTTGTCTAGTGACTCTGGACCAGCTCTTCCGGGCAACTGTGCAAAATTCTACCATCTAGTTAGCTTTTTAGACCTTGTTCAACAAGCTCTGAGTGTCAACTTTGGGAAGAGGATACCCTTTTCAAGTTTGTCCTTTTTGGGGAACTCTCTCTCAGTTCCTTAGACTTTATATAGTAAATAGAAAGATAGAGTTACCTTTCTATCTTTATATTGACTCTACTATAATAGCCGGATAATAATTATTTACATTGAACTTCCACTATTTAAATTACTATATGGGGTTTCTGACTCCTTGCTAGGCCTAGAGTCCTCAATAATTTATGAGATGGGGAAAAATGTCCTGAGATCAAAAGTTTGAGAATGACTGCTATAGAACAATATAAAAGTAAATGAAGGTGATGAATACTGCACAGAAGGACTAGGGGACAATACTATTCAAAGCACTTGTCCCTGCAGCAATCATTCCCTTCTAGTAAAGGCTTGGAAATTGAAATGTCTCCTGAAATGGAAGAGAGATAGCTTCTTGTGGTTATAAGAATTTTTTATCCCATGGTTTCAATTAATAAAACATATTACTTCTGGGACATTTAAAAGGATACATACTTAACTTTCTACAAAACTCATTTCTCCTTTGGTCCTTCATGTTTCAGTTAATAGCCCAGTATACCTGCCCACTTCTTCCTCTTTTATTACTATTATTCCTGAACTAAGCCCCCATCATTTCTTACCCGTTTAACAACAATGGCACCCTAACTGGATTTCAGGCTTCCACTCTTAATCTCTCTCAGGCTAATATCTACTTAGGAGGCTGACATCCACATAGCAGCCAGGGTGATTCTGCTAAAATATAAATAAAATGATGTCACTCCTCCTTCAAAACCTTCCTGTGGTCCCCCCATATAGGTCCTATTAAAACTGAAAATCTTCACAATGGCCTAAAAGTTTCTGCACAATCTTTCCTTCACAATTTCTCTGTCCCCACCATCTGGTATTGTGTTGGCACTTCTGTTTCAGCCATACTTGTCTCCTTGAAAACACTTTTGTGCTCTAATACATATGTACTCCTTGATGGTAGGATATATTTTTCATTTTGTTTATTTCTATAAAATCAGCATCCAGAATAATAGTTAAAAAAACATTAGTTACTTTATAAATCTTTTTTTGTGAATAAAGTAGTAAAACCAGTCTTATCTGAAATGTCATAAAATTTAGATTGGATCTAAAACTATAATTTTCTCTGAAGTGAACCCTAATTCCCAAATTTGTCTCTGGTTATGAATATTTTCTTATGTTTTACATCCAAAGGGATATTGTGTTTTCATTTCAGTTTAAAAGCACATTCCCAAGAGAGTGTCAGAATTAAACCATGAATTAGAATGAAGATGTTTAATTAAATCATTCAAAAAACATTCATTGAGCATTTGCCACATTTAAGATACTCTTTTAGCTATTGTGTAAGCCAAGTGGATGCATATATGATCCCTGTCAGTGACGGCAAAGATAAAATAAAGTATACAGTGGACAATTTCTCTATCAAAATGGAAGATGGTTCAAACATTGTAAATCACTGCTTACTATCTCCAATCTAAAAAAGAAAAGAAAAGAAAAGAAAAGAAAAGAAAAGAAAAGAAAAGAAAAGAAAAGAAAAGAAACATCCAAACAGGTCAATGAGCATATAGCCTTGACCAAAATAAAGATTTCTCAGAGGCACTGAATCGCGTAACATTTTTTTAAAGGCATTCAATTGAAATTTACCACAACAAATAAGCTAAGGACCCAAATAAGATGTCATAGCCCACATGGGAGATCAGACATACCAGAATGCAAATGGGAGAATTCTGACCTCAGACTAAAGCACACAAATAAGGATCAGCAAACTTCTGAGTAAGATCAACACCATGAATTAGAGGGAAAAATCAAATGTACAAAAATGCCCAAGAAAACAGTATTAATTTATTAATCCAAAAAAAGATTTTAGATAATATAAAATTAATAGGACTGTGTGTCTTATTCTCATTTAGCTAACAGGATATATGGTTAGAAAACATACTTTTGTATGTGTATTATGGAGACTTAGAAATTCAAAGAGAAAGATCTGTGAGAAGGTGAATTAGGATAATCTTTTGGGAAAAGTTAGGTTTTTAGCCATTTGTCAGAGCAAACATGAGATTTGGAGTGATGGAGAAGAAAGACAAAATCCTTTTCACTTAGGTATTATGAAGGCATATACGGAAGGCTGAACTTTCTAGAACAAAGGACTGCTGTTAAGAGGGAGATAAGAATCAAATTTCAAGGCAGAGACAAGGGAAATTTGAAAAATTTGGATTTGAGTTAACATAAGGGAAAATACCGTAGGCTCATTAGTAGAGAGAGGAAAAACAAAAAAACAAAAAAACAAAACATGTCCCTGGATAGTAGAGAACCAGTTTTAAAGACATTTGCTTTTCTGTACTGAAAGGAGAGTAGTAGCAATTGATAGAAAGAAGAATCTTAAGTGTAGGAAGGGTTAGTGAATATTTTTGTAGGTCTGAAAAATTTCCCTAGTTTGTTAGTTATCATCACACATTTTCTTTCATTAATGTTATACATTTTCAAAATGGTAATCAGTTGATAAATATCATCTATGGATATTTTAATAAATAGGGATCCAAATGTGCTGGCACTTTTCCTATTGAGCAGTAGGGTCTATGTACTGTCTCCCTTTTGATATTGAACGGGTTTGGATTTACTGTGAACATGAGGGAAAAGCAAAAGTGAATGCATGAACATAGTCCAATACTTGCTGTATGTGCTTAGCTTGAAACGGGTTCTTATGCAGCAACACTAATTGAAATGGAATGTGATACCTTGAAGTGGGGGTAAAGTCATAAAATAAAAATTAAATACAAAACAACAAAACACAAAAATCTAAGATATAAAGCGAGGGGCACCTAGATGGCTCAGTAAGTTAAGCATAGATTTAAGCTCAGGTCATGGTCTCATGGGTTCATGAGTTTGAGCCCCATATTGGGTGAGATCTAGCCCCACTCCGGGTGAGCTTGAGCCCCTCATTACATTGGGTGAACTCAGCTCTGCTTCAAGATTCTCTCTATCGCCCTCTCTCTGTGATTCTTGTGGGATTCTCTCTCTCTCTCTCTCTCTCTCTCTCTCTCGCTCACTCGTGTGCACTCTCTTTCTCTCAAAAAATAAATTAAAAATAATAATAAAATTAAAAAAATATAAAGCAAATATTGAAAATATATGTTGTTACCCTGGAACTAGGTCATGGAAGATGCTTGAATAGGACTTGAGGAGGCTGTTGGGAAGGCTTAAAAATAAGTAAGGAAGCTGTTATTAGAACCTGGAGGAAAACAGATTTCTTGTTACATAGTAATGAGAAATTAAGCAAAACTTACACCTGAACTACCATGGAAAAGAGACAAAGTACCCAATGACATGATGGATCCAGTGAAGGAGATTTTTAGGCAACATGTTCAAAGTCAATTATATTTTGAAAGTGTGTATCATAAGATGAGAATAGAGAGTGATGAGCTCAAGAGAACTTACTTATTTTTTCAGGTAGAACATAGAGAAAATATGAGAATCAGAATTTTCTGGCTTCAAAATATAAGAATTCACTCCTAGTGTGGTTCAGGCTCAGTTCAGCTCCTCCAAGAAGCAGATGTCAAAATAGGATTGGACTGCAATGGCTTTATGGTGAGGGGTGGAAATAGCTGTGAGGTAAGAAGAGAAGGGAGTCTGTGAGGGAGGGAGAAGTGGTAGACCATCATGCAGGCATGACACCTGTAAAGCAGAGAGAAAAAGGAAAGAAGACTGCATACACAGAAGCAGAATCTTAAGACTATAGTGCAGTTCTAAGAAATGTTAGCCTGCCCAAAGTTGCTGCAGATTAAGATTGTGGTACAAAAATTCTGGTGCTAACAGATGGTGGTCATCTGTCAATTAGATACTCTGTAAGCAAGAAGTCTGGGTTTTGCACTTTCTTAGCAACCACAGTTCACTGCTTACACTGCAAAGTATACTTCTCTACACATGTTCCAAGAGCACTTCTCTATGGTTCCCTGCAACCTCTTTTCCTAAGTGTAAACTTAGAAGGGGAGATGAACTATAGCACCCACCACAGTAGCTTATCTTGGAGCCATCAGCAGTATTCCCTTCCCTCCTCCATTATCCATCTTAAATGACTCTCACTCTCAGCATTTTCTTGGCTGCTCTGGTAGCCCACTAGTGTCTAAATCTGAAGTTTTGAGAAGATGAACCCTTGGCAGTCATATCCTTATCAAATCCAGGTTGCTACACATGCCCATTCACAGTTACAGTGGAACAAAGGAAGCCCAGGAAATACCCAAGTCCATCACCTGCATTCCGCACATATCTAGGTCCTCATTGAGTGAAAAGTAATTATTAGGTTGCCTGGGTGGCTTAGTTGGTTAAACGTCTGACTCTTGGTTTCAGCTAAGGTCATGGGTTGTGGTTTGTCAGTTCTAGCCCCAAATTGGGCTCTATGCTGACAATGCGGATCCTCCGTTGGGTTCTCTCCATCCCTCTCTCCCTGTCCCTCCCCTGCTTGTGCATGCTCTCTCTCTCTCTCAAAAATAAATAAATAAATAAATAAACTTTAAAAAGTAATTATTGAATAAAACCCAATTATTCCTAGAAATATAGACTTCTCTTTTCATCTACTGGTCCCTAGATATATAATATCCCAAATGTTCTCAAATGTTCCATGCTACACTCCCATCTTTTCAGAGTGTTTGCTTTAACTCTATGCTTTTACTATGTTTTTAGAAGACTGCTTCTGCATTCCACTTAACCATCTATTTCTGGAGAGTGTGACATGTGATAAAGCCAGTGGATTCTGTCGTCAGAAGCCTACTGGAGCATCTCTTTTACTATGAAGTATCCCCCCGGGTAAGATGTTGCCCTGTCAGGCATTCCATAAGCATTTGAATAATGTTGTTAGCTCACACTTTTCTTGAAGGAAATGAAAACCCATATTCATAATAGGTCTATACACTTATGACAATGAACCACTGGCCTTTTCAGGACCAAAATGCTCTAATGTAGGTGACTTGCTCCCAAGTGCCTGGTTTGTCTCCATGAGGAATAGTGCCATATTGGCAACTAGGCATTGATTTCTATCACTGATAAGAAAGACTTTCAAAGGCAGAAGTTGCTAGATTGCCTTGGTAATTGGGAATCTGTGCTTTTGATCCTATATGCAGTTTTAATCTTTGCTACCATCACAATTCCCATCATGAGCCCATCATGGTAGTTCTAGAGTGCATGATGATGAAGGTTGGCTATTGTCAACTGGCCAATTCATTTGATGTTTTGATTTTTAATTGCCATTTCCACGGTGGTAAGCATTAACATGTAGCATAAAAATCTCCAAATTATGTGACTGAGCTAGTTCATGAACTAAAGTGGGAACTTTTCCTTCTTCAGTTAGTCTTACAAGATCCCCCATATGGAAGTCATAGTGAAAGCTGGACAGGGTGCTATTGCAAATATGAAAGGAGAAATGAGGATGTGGATTTCCCACTCATGCAGCTTATTCATGTCCTCTGTTACTGTTGTTCCAAGCCTAGATATTCTATTTCTATTTTATAATAAACTGCTTCTGAATCTGTCCACCTCTGGCTTGGTGAATCTGACAGAATCCAACTCATAATAGGAAGTTCCAAATACACAGTCAATTTATGCTCCGAGGTCAAGCATTTTATCTCTTATCACAATAAGTAACACACACAACAGGAACTGCTTCTCAGATGGAGTATAATTCTCTGCCAGAAATGGCATCACATTTCCCATAATTCTAGGGGGTCTGCAATTTTATACTTTCACTCGGGCTTACCATGAGCTTTATCCCACATTTTCCCACTGCTGATGCCTCCAACACTACAGTGTCTGCCAGATTTTATACCCTAACTATGGTAACCAGCCACATTGGTTTGTCCACGGCTTTCTTGGTTTTAGCATTGCAAGTGTCATGTCCCAGGCCAGGAACACTGAGATAGATGGTCACACTACAAGTAACAAAGATGTTTGTTTGGAGGTCCCATGAGAAGCTAAAGTCTTCCATGTTATTCTGTAAAGCAGTATTCTTTTTTTTAAAAATTTTTTTAATGTTTTATTTATTTCTAGGAGAGAGAGGGTGAGCAGGGGAGGGTCAGAGAGAGAGGGAGTCACAGACTCTGAAACAGTCTCCAGGCTCTGAGCTGGCAGTCAGCACAGAGCCCGACGCGGGGCTCGAACCCACTAACCGCGAGATCATGACCTAAGCGAAAGTCGGACGCTTAACCGACTAAGCCACGCAGGCGCCCCTGTAAAGCAGTATTCTTAAGTCTAAATTATGCTGTCTCCAGAACTCTAAGGGGCTTATTACCATAGGCTGTGTGGTAGAACACACAAGATGCAACAATGCATCTTTTATTTTGAAGGAAATACTCTGTCATGTCTCTGAAGACAAAATTTCACTGAGGAGGTAGGTATCTGGATTCTGTAGTTATTAAGTCTCAGCTTCTGAGGCTCATGTGTCTTTACCTGGCCTGTAGGCTGCCAGCCACCTCTTACTCATTTTGCCAACCATTATGACATAATCAATTCAATGATCTCTGTGCTGTTCTTTGGGATGTCCAAGCATAACTATTACCATTAGACTGTATTATGGCAGAAAGTAAGAATATTAACATAGTCTTGAGGCAAACTGTAAATGAATGTTGTTGTCTAACTATCATGAATGCAAACTGTTTGATAGCCCTTTCTAATCTGCAACTAATACAGTTGTCAAATTAGTGATCACATTCAGAGTACCTGAAGTCTTGCTAATTTTTTCTTGCAATGAAAAAGGCACAGCAGCTGTCCTTGGTTAAGCCTTCAATAATCTACGTTGTTATTCAGAATCCATCAAGTTTTTGGAGGGTCATATTGGTGAATTAAATGGAGGTTATATATAATAAGATATTAACACTGCATCCTTTTGGTCATTAGCTTTAAACTCTATTTACTCCAGGATATGATACTGTTTTTGATTTACTGTCATAAAAGGTAGGAGGGTGGGGAAGGTAGTTTCAGAGTTTTCTACCTGGCCTCCACTGTGAAGTTCTTACTCTCAGTATTATGTGTGTTACTCAGTTATTCTAAGAAACAGATAGAAAAAAGGGATTAAATATGCAAGAAATTTACTCAAGTAAATACTGTGAGGGGAAAGAGTGGGGAAGCCAGAGGAGGTGGGAAAAAACATCTGATTGTGATGCAGGTCTGTCATCCACTGTGAAGGAGAGAGAGAAAAAGTGTTGGAGAGGAAGATTACCCAACTATAGTGCAGTTCTAAGAAATTTCTGCTAGGCAGATAAGGAGTCCTCAAGCCAAAGTCCCCCATCAGTGGATCCTTTCCTCTTGGAGGAATGTGCTTAATTTAGTACCCTTGCTACACTCAGTCACTGAGAACAGCCCATGGGAAACATGGGCTTATTACTTACATAGTAGATTCTGCATGCCACAGCTGGGATTATCTGTCAACGAGCTTCACCTAGTGAGATATCTGAGTGGCATGTTTTTATGGCTACCAGACCCACTACCACCAGCAGAATATTTCCAAGTAGTAAAAGGCCTCAAGGCAAATCCAGGGTACTGTCAGCAAAACATGGTTTCAGGCTAAAAATTAAGCAATGGATGACTATAACATACTTTGTAACACTTCTGAAAGACTTCAGGTGTGCAGCATAAACACTTTTAGTCTCTCTTAGGCTTGTTTTGTTGAACACCAAGGGTTCTAAGACTTACAGGGATTTTTGTCATAGCACCTTTACAGGGAGCACAAGAAAGAAAAATTTGTAGGTATGGCTTTTGACTAGTAAAGTAAATGAAAAGTGAGCACACAAGAAACATATACAATTAAAAAACAAATTAGAGCAGCTTAGATAGAAAGAGATGGAGACAGGGCAAAATTTAAAAAAAGGGGGGATGGCTCTGAACCCCCTATTTTTCCAGGCAGGATTTAAGTTGAAAACAGTTGCACAGCTCCAAGTATGGGTTGCCTTTCACAGGACAGAGGGCCCAGAGGGTGGAGCTCACAGCCATGAAAAATTCCATGACCATGAACCAAAGGACTGGGCTCTAATCTAGAAACTGGCATCTCCTACTGGCTGGGTCTTAGAACTGCAATGGGAAGAGAAGGCTGTGTACTCCCTGTCCTTATGCTAATCTCTGAGTTGAAGTGCCTCTTGCAGTTACCCTGTGCTTACTTCACAATGTACTTGGGGGTGTGAAGCAAGATAACACATTTCTTTAGTTCACCAGCTTTAAGACCAAGAGAAACTAAACTCAAGGACTATACTAGAGGGATCACACTGAGAAGTGACATCCATACCCGGACCATAGTTAGATGACAGAATCTTGGCTCAATTTTGAACCTAGTCCCATAAAGAGTTTAGGCATTTTGAGAGTCTTAAGAGAGCCTGATTTCCATTTCTTAGATGTGATAATTTGTGGCCAAATGAAATTTTGTTGGCTTTTTAAAATTGTGGTAAATTATTGGAGCCTCCTCCCATGAGGTTGTTTTATGTCCCCTTGCCATGAGTATGGGTGAGGTGTGCATTTGCTCCAACTAACAGAGCCCAGCAGAAGTGGTCCTATATGACTAGGATTACTTATGAAAACTCATGTGGCTTCTTCCAAATTCTCATGCTCACTCATATCACATTCTTTCTCACAGTCATTACATTGTGAGGATATCAAGCCACAGAGAAAGGCTCTTGTAGGTGTTCCATTTGACAGATCCAGCCATGTCTATCCCCAGAGTCATCCTATCCCTGGTAGAAGAAAGTCTTGAGAAGAAAGTTCTAGATGATTCCAGTATCTTGCTGTTCAAATATTCCCAGGTAAGCCTCAGACACTGTGAAGCAGTGTTCTTTCTCATTTCTTATCCTAGAGAGTCCTGAAGTGTAATAAAATGGTGTTATTTTCTACTCTCAGTTTTGAGTGGTTTGTTTCACAGCAATTGTAACTAGGATGTTATCCAATATTCTTTATTGGAAAAGCTGAGAACAAAAAAGTTAGGGGCGCTTGGGTGGCTCAGTCAATTGAGTGTCAGACTCTTGATTTCAGCTCAGGTCATGATCTAAGGGTTGTGGGATGGAGACCCATACCAGGCTTCATGCAAAACATGGAGCCTGCTTGGAATTCTCATTCTCTCTCCCTCTGTCTCTCTCCCCTGCTCTCTCTCTCTAAAATAAAGATAATAATAATAAATAATACAGTAAAAACAAAAAAATTAAACTCTAAGTAAGTCTCTAACTTAAAGTCACTCTTCTACATTACAAATAAGCTATTTGCTTTCCCCCCCAAATATTTGAAACTATAGCACCTATCATGGTTGTAGAGTTCCTGAACCACATACTTCTCCTAAGCATATTTTTGACTTTGGAATTGATAAGATGCACCTACATCAATGCTACTACAAAGTTTATAATCCCCAAAGAGTATTTTTTGGGATGAAAACAATATTTAATAATTAATCTTGAGTCATTATTAATTATTGACTTGACAATATTTCATCCTTAGGAAAAGGAGAAAGGAGAATACTTATGTTAGAATATATTTAGAAATTCTAAATAGCCAAATTCTAAAATTCTAACTTCTAAAAAGCCAAAAAGCAATCTTCAGTATATGAATCACATGTATCTCCTCACAGAAGTGGAAATATTTACATGTGGAGAAACAGAGTCAACAGGGAGAGAGAGGTGGGGAGGAATGAGAAGGGAACCATATGAAGCATGGGAATGCTTAGGGAAATTTTGCATGTTTCTATGGACCATATTTTCCTAAAATTACAGAATGTGAAGCTATAATGTCATGTGATTTCCTATTCATCAATTAAAATTTAGTCAATTTCACTCCACTATGTATTTTCTTTTGGGTAGCAATCTTTCTAGAGCTTAATGTGCCATTTACATTCTCAGAAGGGCCTTTGAACAGCCTGTGGTGATAGAACAGACCTTCATTCAGTGAAATCTTGCTGACAGCTGAGAGCAGAACATTGCATTTTGTACCCTTAAGAAAATATAATTGTTGGGATGCAATTACTCTTTCATCTTATGGTGATAATCAATCAGTGGTTGCCAAGTCTAATTAGAAGCCTTGGTATGTACAACATGATAGCACTTTCTAACGACATTGTAGCCTAGAACATCTTTTTAGCAATACTATAATAAAAACATAATATTTTATAGATAATTCAATTTACATTGCTGCCATTATTGTTTGGAGATATGAAAAGGTTTTACTGGGGTAGAAGAATCCCATCTTTACAAGTACAAATATACCACTAATGGTTTTATGGTGTCTCCCAAGACCTCACTATTTCTGCTCTAACGATCTGATGATTTTTCAAATCGGCAAAGATAGATTATTGTATGTGTACATTTTTTATTACCTTCAGAACATAGTGTATTTCAGGTGCATAGATTTATTTTTCGATGAAAAGCTTTCCCCCTCCTCTTCCCAACTGAAGTAATTCATAATGGGATACAGTAATCAGAAGAGAAATGGCATCTGTTAAAAAATATGGTGCTTGGTTACAATGTCAAGATAAAATACCATATTTTGTTAAGCACTGAAAATATCTAGAAAAATCAGTGCTCATTTCTTTCTATAATATGACATGTGTTAAGAAGTCTCTGAACAGATTTTTTTCACTTTGAAATATCTTCAAAATTGTTAAACTTCAAACTGGGTAATTACACTGTATATTTGTCTTTTAGCATTTCAATTAGGATCTGTTAATCTTGAACTTGTGTAACTTACTTTGTATGCAGAAGGAAAAACTGGAATTACAGGAAGTATTAAACCATTCTTTTTGTTCTAGATACAATGATAAAATAATTTACAAAGTGCTTTCCTTCACTTTTCTGATATTTCTTTTAGAAAATGAGTCTTTCCATCATACAGAAAGTGATAAATTACTGAGAAGACATACTATTGTTTCTTGCAGTATGGAGGCTGCATCAGAGACATGGATTTTCCTGAGAGGCCAAAGGAAAAGATAGCATAAACATATAATCATAATTTTGCTCCAAATATCCCAATACAGTAGTTGAATTTAAATGCCTCCTTAGACATTCTATAATTTAGCAAACACACGTTTTCAAAATAAAATTTAAAGCTAAAAGATAAGCACAATATCTGGAAATGCACCAAAAAACAGTCTTTAGCAATGTGTGGATATAAAGGAGACTTGGGGGAACTCTTTGAAGCATTAGCTTCAAATGGATCATATGTAAAATACCACAAAACAAATACAACTCAGTAATTTATTTTTTAAAGATGATTTTCGGATGTTGTGTAAAGTATGTATAATTTTTTGTATTCTGTAATACTACAACTCTTCTCTTTGATGTAATTCCACACACCACTGAAGTGCAGGTAGAACTCAATAGAAGTATCATGCCTTATGGCTTCATCTCAGCTCCATCAACTACACGGTAATTTTTAAGTTCAACTTAAAAATACTACTTGCATATGATATTTGATCATATAATTCAAAAAGCATCTTAAAAGAAAGCAAAATTCACTTTGTTTTACTTAAGAAAAATGCTTAAAGAACATTCTTGAAGTTGTTCTCTGCACTGGTAACAAAATTAGAACTAAGATGCATCACCTTATAAAAACCACTCCAACCTATTTATAAAGAAAAGTCTAGAATTTGTACTCAATTGACTTTCTCCATCTTGACATTCTGTAGGTTGTGTTCTTTTTTCTCTATTTCCTTTTGCTTTTACATGCATGCCCATTTCCAAATATCCAAGTGATTCCACAAAATCTTTTGTTTTACCCCTGTCACTGCTCAGCAAATTTATGGATCCTTAAAATACACAAAATAAGGCTCCACATCACCACTCTATTTACCACCACTAACTAGTGTGCATGAAACAATAAGGCCATGGAAAAATAATGATATCTTGCAGATTATTTTTAGTTTAAGTCCTGGGTACTGCAGTTTACAGTAGTTGTTGGTGGAGAATAACCAAGGGAAATGATGGGAGAAGAGTAACGGAGGACAATGTTGAACACAGCATTCATTCCAAAATGAATCTGTCTACCTACTTAAGCCTGGGAGGTTTGTTATAGGCTTCCCCTTCGTACAATTCATAACCAAGGAAGTTTGTCCAGTAGGCTCATATCTGAAAGCATCATTTGTTTCCATCTCATTGAATCTTTTTGGAGAGTTCAGAGAAATGATCTAATGACAACTGAGAACAAAACTACTACTACTGAGTAGTAGCAGAGATGTGTTTAAATCTACGCTGAGATGATACAGAAAGATTTGTACTTGAAATATTGACTTTTGATTAACTGCAGTTGGAAACTAAAAATATTGGTGTGAATACTGGCGCCAGACTATTATCATAAGTAATTTATTCATACTTGGGGGGAGAGAAAAGAATGAAAAGAAGAAGTCACTCCTTGTTTTAGAAATATTTTTAAAAGATTAGGGGGAATTAACTTGAGACCCATAGCATAATATACTATATATTGTTTGGAATTTACCATTAAACATATTTTTATAATGTCTTTATTTGCTATTGTGACTTTACATCTTTATTAATGTTTTTCTAGACTCTATAAGATCCTGAGTTTAAAGAAAAATAAAATTCAAAAATTTAATTTTTTTAGTGTTTTCACTATTTATTTTTGAGAGAGAGATAGAGACAGCATAAGCAGGGGAGGGTCAGAGAGAGAGGGAGACACAGAATCTGAAGACAAGCTCCAGGCTCTGAGCTAGCTGTCAGCACAGAGCTGATGTGGCGCTTGAACCCACGAACCGTAAGATCATGACCTGAGCCGAAGACGGACGCTTAACCAACTGAGCCACCCAGACGCCCCAAACTTCAAAAATTTTAGGGAGTATTTTCAGAACTAAAGGGGCTTCCTGAATATTCACAATATTTACTTTCTCTCCATCATCCTATTAAATATTCCAGCCCTTACATGAGCATCAACCAGATGCTCCATTCATCATCAGTATCATCATTAAGTACATGCTGTAATCAGTCTTCATTGACTGACCTCCAAAAGAGGCTAGGTATAGGAAAGATTTATTTAGAAATATCATATTTCAGATTTAATTGAGAAGATAATTATTTATTGGAGATGTTCTTGAATGTTCTATATACTCCTTCTCAACTAATTTACTTTTTCTTCTCTTCTATTTTATAATACAACTTGCTACCTCCACCTGAATTTGCACAGTACACAGGCTTATTTAAAAAAATTATTTTTGGATCCAGTATCTTAGTTGAACTTCATAAAAATTTAAAGCAAGTAAATTTTGCTACATATTTGACCATGGAGGAAATGATGTGTATTAGTTCATACAGCTAGTTATGCCAGATATAAAACTGGAGACAGTTTCTTGTTTTCTGGTCCATGCCTTTTCACTGGACTATAGTACCATTTATATAATAACATATTTATAATTGTGTCATATATATAGATATATGTAATATGTGTATATAAAAACAACATATAATTATGTTATACACACACGTGTGTGTATATACATTCAAACTTAATTTCTACAAGTGAGCACTGCTTACCTTGCAGCACAAGTAAAACAAGAAACAGAAGCAGTGTCCAGATACTATGAGACTTACTGTCATTTTCTATCTTATCTTGACCTTCAGCAGTACTGTACAATTTTAGTTTGAGGCTCTAAACTAGAGAGAGAGAGAGAGAGGGAAATGTATGAGTTCTATGTTTGATTAAGTTAATAGAAAGCTGAAAAAAATCAGCAAAACTGGACATGGCTTTATTGCTTAACCTACCTTTTTTAAAGTGGAGAAAACAAAGTATAATATAAGCCCCCAATTTTATTTTAGTA